TTGGTCTCGTTAGAGGCCCTGGTCATATCCCTAACACACCTGAGATCGATGGGTACAGGCCTTTAAGTGGTCGTCTTGGTTATTAAACGGAGGGGAAGCCAATTTCTAGTGGAGGAAAGCTAATCCGATCACACATTAGGAGCCCATATTGGCTGGAGTGGCGCGAGAAAGAGATAAAACGGGGTCATGTGTCCTCTATGTGTACTCAGTAGATGGGCTGTTCAACAAAAGCAATATTGTGAGAGCAGCATCACATGCTTTCTGCAATCCATGCCCTCATTGTTTAAAAATATGCAGAAATGTTCTCATATTAAAATATGCAGATGTAGCGAATCAGCTCATGGGGAAATATGAATAATTAATCATAACTAGTTATAATTAATTACAAATATTTAGATCCGCTGTATATATTTACTTGACCTCTCAGGGTCAACTGTCTGTCAATTTGAGTGTTTCGATCATAAGCCTGCATAAAACAGTATAAAATCTCAAAGACAACATACACGATGACCTGAAGGGTATGTGTGTTCATTCAAAGAAAGGTTTTCCTATGAATTAATTAGAAAAGAGTCAATTTTTACTGTGCACTGTGGATTTCCTATGGAAATTGTAGTGAGAAAGGTGTTTCTCAACATGCCATTAGGTCGTAAATGGATCTGGTCTAGCAGAGGTGTCGTGGTTGCCATGGGTACCGGGGGGGGCCTGGTGTCGTTGCAGACATCCTGGCATCCAGTTTATTGGGTGAGGGGACTGTGACGATTTGTTAATCTAATGAATAACTGATTTGTTAAATCAAATGAAAAATTGTGTGTTTGATTGGTCCAGACGCTACACAGAGATATTTTAAACTCGTGATTTCCACCCAATTATCATTTGTTTGTGCATGAGAAAGTTGCTGGATGCTTCCGATGGTTTGCATATTGATAGAGGAATCAAATGACACAGTTTTGGCTTAAGACAGAGAGATGTTTGTCTTTGCATGTGACTAATTTTGCAGGAAGTCAATAATTTTGCGGTGAGAAAGAAAAGTATTTATCCAAATGGGCATGTTGGTTTGATTCTCTTCAAAGATTTTGTGATTAGATTCTTAACGCAATCAAACAAGAATATGAGCACATGCATCAGATGAACAACCACCTGCTTCTTGAATATATTCAAAGAAATCCGCTGCTTAAAATTGAATATGTGGTCAAATTGGAATACTAAAAAAAGAAAATGAACCAAATATTTGACTGAAAAAATATGAGGTTTCACATGGATCCACATGGATTCGGTCAGGCCTCATCCTCAACATGATTTAAAATATTTGTTCAAGATTGGAGCATTTCCCACCATTTCCTGACCTTCTCTGTAATAGGTTCCACAGACATCTTTTGACTTTCCTTGTACTTCTGCACAGATTCTTGACGTTACTGATCAGATGCGATCCGGCTGAGTTCAACAACTGTGTCGCATTCAATAAAACATCGTTTTTGATTTTGTTTCTTGGCTCTCTGAAAGCCCCATTAGTTCCCGCTCCCATTATTTGCAATCCACATGTCACTTCTTGTTATTGCTTATTTGACGTTAGTAATGTAATGTAATTGTATAGAGGCAGAGACAATGTATTTGGATGTCATTTGATCTTTTTTTTTTTTTTTTCTTGAAACACATATCTGTGCATTTTGAGCCATCTTGGCCTTAAGCTAATTATTGAATGTAATCCCAGACATAGGTTAGAGTTATACAGTTACGCTTTGACTGAGGGGCCTCATCATTAGAGCCATGAACCGAATTTGAACTGACCACTGACAAAAGGAAGTGTATTTAAAATCATTATTGAGTTCAGTTCATAATTGAATAATAGGGCCTCCCTTGGTCTGCAGAGTGTTTTTGTATGGCCTCAGGCTATTCGGATTTCATGGTTCTGTTTTCATTGAGACTGCATGTGGTGAGTTGTGGCCTGACCGAAACATCTACATCTGTAAAAGTGGGACTTCCTGTGAGCTGCATATGCATGCGCATGGTATCAGATGGAAGCTGCAATATGGGCATATGCTGCCGCAGGACGTTGTCGAGGGATGACAGGTGGTTGCTGGGATATTTGCATAATTATGGATGTACCACATTCACCCCTACCAAGTCATAAACCCGGAGACCAGAGAGCTGAGAAAATTCAACAGCTCAGAGCGCTCAGAGCTTCTGCCAGGTGGCAAGACACTAACAGTAAATCTGCCTGTCGACACTCAGACGCTCCTGCAGATGACATGTGAACACTTTACTTTCACGCTGGCTATAGCTAACTCACGGTACAGAACCTAACAAGGGAAAAAAAGAGCTCTGACAGGGAACAGGTTTCCTGGGGGTGTTTATTTTTTCCCTCAGGTCTAATATGCCACTGACTGCTGCTAATTTACTCTGAACTTGTTTAATATTTTGTGTGATGTTCATAAAATGCAGCACTTTCTATGAAACATACATAATGTATTATGAAGGTATTCTTAAAGGGATAGTTGACCTTTAAAAATAGATTTACTTACTGTACTCTCATTATATTGACAAGTGTGGCTAGGATATTCTTTTGTGTTCCACAGAAGAAAGTAAATCAAGAAATAGGTTTGAAATTACATGAGGGCGACAGAGTTTTCTGTTCCTCTAATGCAGTATAAAATGTTTCAAATGTTCCAAGAGTGCTGAGAGTCCAACAAAGTGTATCACTCTTGTCTGTCTGCGCGTTCTATATAAAATGTTCACTGACTTCTGCAGGTTACATTGTTACGCCAGTAGGTGGCAACAAGCGAGCGTCTTTGTGAGCGAGTCATTTGATCGACTGATTTGTTTGTGTTTACCTAGAAAAAAAAAAAGAAAAAGTAGCACAGTGGAATGGAAAAATGTTTCTCGGTTTCTTCAAAAAGACTGATTAATTTAGTAACGAATCAAACGAGTCAGTCATTTAAATCATTTGTTTGGTTGACTCTCTCATAAACGCTGATTCATTTAGGAACATGACAAATGGGTGATTCTCAAATGGAAGGTTGCATCATAGCAAGGTTGTGTCCTATCTAGACCAGTCCTTCTAAAGTTTCTAGGCTAAACGTTCGAAACGCAACTCATTTTTTGTAATTTTAAATGTGTGCAAAGGATTGTGGGTGATTGGAGAATGTGAAGGATACACTTGATGCATCATGTGAAATACACTGAATGAAGGATGCGAAACAAAGGCTTTCTTCCAAAGATCTTTCAAATTGAGATGGCCTTCGATGGTGCGTGATAAGATAGCAGCCGAGGTGTGCAGCCTTACGAGGATTGAGAAGCACCCAATGAGTCATTGAATCAATCATTTAACTGATTCATTCAAAATGTATTCAGGAATGTCATTACCGTGTGTTGCAGCAGTTCTGCTGTATCTTTCTTTTCAACTACTTTCATTGGTGGAGCAACAACAGATAAATTAACTGGCAATATTGTGTCTAAAATACAAGTTACTCAATATTAAAACAGCTTTGCTCAATCATCCTGCCTCCTTGCTACTTCAATAACTTCTCGAAAATGGCCCAAGCTGCTAGTTCTAAACATGCAGTTTGCGAATTAGTAACAGAGGCCTGAACACATCTTTTGAACTAGCAACAGCAGATCCTGAATCTGTGGCAAATGTAAGTGGTTTACACTCAGTTTTACCAAAGTCCCTTTAAGGCAAGTCATGTCACTCAGCAGCCATCTTTGAAACGCCTCTCGAGCATGCAAGTGCAGCTCCTATCTCTTTGAATGCAGAAACATCAAATTCTCCAAAACTGTTCACTAAGCTTATGATTAAATTTCATATTTGAAATCACCAATTAAATCTGACAACAACTGTATCATAAATGTTGTTTATTTTGCTCAAATAGCGTTAAAAAAAGCTTATTTTTCAGGCTAGATCAGCCAGTGCGCATGTGCAGTCCCAACCGTACGTCTCAGAGCGTTGACTGTTTCTATAGCAACCAGGACTTCTAACGGCAGCTGCAGTGACACGCTGACTTTACTGATTAGCGATTGGCTCTTTTGCTCAGAAGGCGGGGCTTCGTTCGATAGAGCGGCCATATTGAGTGTTGCATTTTTCCCCATTCAAAACTATACGAGTGACATCTCTTGGGTATTCTATAGTCTTTGGTTTTACATAGATGTAGGTGCAACAACCTTCATGAAAGAAAACAGACTGGCTGTATTACATTTTTCTATAATGTAGAGAGAGCATGTGTGTATGGTTTCCAGTTTGGGAAGATTAAGTAAACCACTGGGCAGAAATGCATCAATTTAAGAACATTTAAGCAGATGATTATGCTTAATAAATCAAGAGAAGCAAAAATCGTGATCACAATAAAAATGTGATTCATTGTGCATCCCTACTGTATGTTCTTTTTTACATATACATAGGCAAGCACCATTTTGTGGTAACAGTTACTCAGATGAATTATTATCTGGCATTTTTAATATATAATGCTTTATATATAGATGCCTAATAGAAAGTGTTACCAAAAAGTATAAAAAGTTGTGAAACTAAGTCTATTCTGTAGACGACCACAAGCACAGAACCCTTGAATCCAGACTGGCTCTGAGCTGTGTGAGACAGGAAATGTGAACTGGTATCTGACTAATCCCCCCCTACCTGCCCTGCGGTTCAAACCCATTACAGCACAGCAGCACAGGGACACCTCTGGCTCTCCTCTCCCATCTCTTTCTAAAGCGTGTGCGGTGTGTGCTTGTTACAAGCCCAGCTAAATGGTCCTATTGCCACCGCCTTTCTTTGCAAGACTCAAAGGAACTGGCTTTGTGTCAGAGAGGAATGTACTGTCTCCCTGTCACACTTTTGTGGGGCTGAAAAGGGCCTTTCTGTAGGAAATCGAGGAAACTGAGCTGTGTGCTGTGTTTGTTATCTGTGGCTATGTGGGAAGGATGTCTTACTGTACCGTAGTAAAGAAACTCCAGTTTTTGGAGTGAGAAAATATGCTGTTAACAAGATCTCTCTCATCTCTCTGTTTCAGACATGCCATTGCATGTACGCCGCAGCAGTGATCCGGCTCTGGTTGGTCTGCCCGAAGCCCAGCTCCAGCCAGAGGAACCATCTCGGAAGAACCCCACACGCTGGTCCACCACAGCAGGGTTTCTAAAAGCCAATAACACCAGCGGAACGACCAGCCTAGAGCGAAAGGTCAGTTCTCAGTATCATTCAGATGTTTTTTACAATTTTTATTTTTACACACACACACACACACAGAATAATATCTATCCATCCATCCATTCACCCACCCATCCATCGTTCTAACTATCCATCCATCCATTGCTCTATTTATACATCCATCCGTCCATCCATCCTTCGTTCCATCTACCTATCTATCCATCCATCCATCCATCCATCCATGGTTCTACTTATACATCCATCTGTCTGTCTGTCCGTCCATCCATCCATGCATCCATCCATGCATCCATGCATCCATCCATCCATCCATCCATCATTCTACTATCCATCCATCCATCGTTCAATTTATACATCTATCTGTCTGTCTGTTCATCCGTCCATCCATCCATCCATCCATCCATCCATCCATCCATCATTTTACTATCCATCCATCCATCGTTCTACTTATTCATCCATCTGTCTGTCCGTTCATCCATCCATCCATTGTTCTACTTATACATCCATCTGTCTGTTCATCAGTCCATCCATCTGTCTATCCATCAGTCCATCCATCCATCCATTGTTCTACTTATACATCCATCTGTCTGTCCATCTGTCCATCCATCCATCCATCCATCTATCCATCGTTCTACTTATACATCCATCTGTCTGTTCGTCCGTCCGTCCATCCATCCATCCATCCATCCATCGTTCTACTTATACATCCATCTGTCTGTTCATCAGTCCATCCATCCATCGTTATACTTATACATCCATCTGTCTATCCATCAGTCCATCCATCCATCCATTGTTCTACTTATACATCCATCTGTCTGTCCATCTGTCCATCCATCCATCCATCCATCTATCCATCGTTCTACTTATACATCCATCTGTCTGTTCGTCCGTCCGTCCATCCATCCATCCATCCATCCATCGTTCTACTTATACATCCATCTGTCTGTTCATCAGTCCATCCATCCATCGTTATACTTATACATCCATCTGTCTATCCATCAGTCCATCCATCCATCCATTGTTCTACTTATACATCCATCTGTCTGTCCATCTGTCCATCCATCCATCCATCCATCTATCCATCGTTCTACTTATACATCCATCTGTCTGTTCGTCCGTCCGTCCATCCATCCATCCATCCATCCATCGTTCTACTTATACATCCATCTGTCTGT